GTGACTTACTTTCAGGGAAATCTCCTCACACTGCAACACTGTGTCCTTCACTGCTCCTCCTATTACGATCTGGAATCATTTACAATTGAATTTCAAATTAATCACTCGATCAACTAATAATTCATTATTTTACAGATTTGTTTCAAATGAATTAATAATCAAAATTTATTTTTAGAGTGAAAAAAACATTTGTTCATAATTGTTTTATGTATAACACTCGCTCTTCAACCGGTTACTCTCGACAACGAGCAATAAAAGATTTTTAATTTCCATAATACTCTGAATAAAGTCGTATTCTGAGTAAACTCACTGGAGAACCGATAACTTCTGCTCCACGAGCACCACAATTTCCACTGCTTTTCCCTCGTAATCTGGATAAGTGCAAAGAGATTTCTGCTGCCACAGCCGCGTTATTCTCAATGAGAATTTTATCTGAAACATTAGAATTTTTACGTGTGCATTACAAGAGAAAAGTAAGTAGGTTGTGAAAATTAAAAATATCGCAGAGAATAAACTCACTGGCTGCCAACGACTTCCCCCCGGTAAATTCATTTAATCTTCTCAGCAAATAGGGAGTCACTGCTTTTCCCCTGATGTTGTTCTCCTCAGCCTCTTTAAGAGCCCTTTCAATGTACCTCTCGATCTCCACTGGATCGATCGCACCAGATTGTGGAATGGGAACAGCAAAAACTAGGCCCGAATTTATTCCTAAATCCCTCTGAGCTTTTATACACTCAGCAGCTTCCTCAGATCTAGACACTCTAGCTGGGGATTTCAGGTAATTTGGAGTACTGCGACTGTAAAATGCTGGAAATTCCAGGGAATCTCCTATCGTCATCACCGGGACACCCAAGGTCTCCTGTCAATTACAGCTGATAATGAAGGAAACAAATAATAATCTTTTCTTTCAATTATTTCTGTGGCTGTTGGGTTTTGCTTTTCTCCAATGGGAATTTTTTTTACAGCTAATTTTTTTTAGATAGTGAATTGAATTGCAGGTGTTGCCGAGGTTGATTGTAAATCGAGGGGCTTTAGATCTTGGGATTGCATTCTAGAGTGGAAAATTCACAAAGAAATTTACCAGAAATTCCAGAGTCTT